ATGTAAAAGATATGCCATTTAAGCCCAAGATGTACAAAACGCTGCATTAAACTATATCCTGAAATAAGGAAAAAAAAAATCTACAATCTTTTCCTGCATCATCTTTGTTACTACACATGTAAGGAAATTACTCTGCTAAATTATCCATTGCAAATTGAGAAGCGAAACATTCTTTTGTATTTCTGGTAAGCGAGAAAGACAGCACTAAAGCAGAGTATAATATTTCTAGCAATGCCTGCTTACTATGCACTACTGCCAGATCTGTTTTGAAATTTGAGCCCCAAGAAAAAAGGCGTCTACACAATTTTCTCCCCTGCTCATTTCAGGCAAAAGGCAGAGCAGTTTTCATCTGACCATGTTAACAAAACACAGCTCGGACGAGTAACCATTTCTGACCCAGTCGGTTTTCTGACACACTGGAGCTGGTTTACTCCAGCTAAGGAAACAAGACTCTCCTTCATGAAGAAGTCTGGTTACAAATAATGATGGCTAACTCTGTTGCCCTAAATGTAAATTAGAACTTAATTGTCTGTCTCAGGCATCCGAAGACAAACATGACATTCCCAGGAATGCTGGCCCATACGTGCACTTCTCTCCACCTTTGAACTGCTGTGCTGGTGTGAGAGATACCTAATCCTGCAATCATCCTTCTCGAGGAAATTAGCCAACCATTATTAGAGGAACTGTAGCCTGCTGCGTGCAATTTCAAAGTTGTCTACGCAACTGTATCTGTGTATGCTGCTCCTCCTGAGGCCCTTTTCCAGTCCACAAGCCCTTTCAAGTAGAGTAATGCCTATCCCCTGTTGCTCTTGTGATGGGACCGATAACCCAACAACTCCCTAACTGCATCTTCCAGCTCCCAATACCAGCCTGCCTTACAAAACACTTGGCACCTGCAAACATTTTCCTTCACGAGCCTGCAGAGAAAACCTTCCATTGTGCCACAGAATGAAATCAAAGTAGGATTTATTTAGTTGTAAGGAATTCAAAGAATTAGTTTTAAAGAAACAGAGACCTAAGCCTACCCTCTTACCTACAACTTGGAATTTCCTCCGAGCAGTGGGGAGATGTAATTTAGACTCGGTACCTCCCTGTCCCCCAGGGAAGCGGAGTACAGCTTGCTTGCAGAGAACCTGCTTTCCCTGCACGTTAGCTTGCAGCAGCTGATGACTGACACCCTCCTCCCTTTGCTTAAGGTCAATTTTCTAATAGATCAATGTCTCTCCATCTCCTCCTCCGTGTTGGCAAGATGCCCTGTCATCCAGGCAGTGGTTGAGAAGTTTCTCCCCACACCTGGAAGCTACACTGAAGAAAAAACACATTGTTTAAGCCAATGCTCCCGCCTGCTTCTTCCACAGAATTCCTTGCGTTCAAAGCCGTGTAATAGTCTCAGACAGACTGATGGTCATTTGAGATGCGTACAAAATGCAAGCTGGAAAATAAGCATATCCATCTGAGCAGCACGCAGGGATCCCGTGGCTGGGCGTTCTGGATCTAAACACTGAGAATTACGGGGTTCCTACACCCACACTCAAAAGGGTCAGTAACAGGGCTGCAATTACAACAGAGTCTTCTGAACCTCTGCTCTATCTGCTGCAACATGCAGCACCATATCATCCCTAATTTTCCGTATGTTAATTTTGAAATTCACCACAAACTTACTTGGAAGGTCTCCAGTTAAAAGGGAGCCACATGCTTTAAAAAGATTAAATCCTTGACTGAAACAGCAAGAGGGATTTCTCTATTCCAACTAAATGTTCATATGGTTTCTTAGCTGGGGAAATAGCCTTCTGAAGTCAGTAGTTATATGGAGACCAAGTGATTCAGTTGATTAGTTTCTGGCCTTTCACTGTTTTAACCCCACTATAAATCCTAACTCAATTAAAATCATTCTGATTAGGACCAAAATTCCACATCAAGTTTTCGAAAGCTTCTAAAATCTCCCCCTCCTCAAAAGACATATATAATTAAAAGCACAAACCTCTGCCAATTTTATTGCTGAATTTGTCAGAAAAGTTATCAATGGTATTTTGCAGAAGAGGTAAGACTGGACAACCTCCTGGGGTCTTCTCTGAACTGAATTAATCTATGACATGTACTGTGAGATCGTACCTTAATCCATAAGCAAGTAAGAACCACTCACATGTTTTACTCTACATTACAAGAGAACAGTTCTCTTGCAAACAAAAACTGAAAGTCTTTAGACAGTATTTTCTCTTAGTGAGAATTGTTCATTTTAAGTTTAAGCACGCTGAAAAAGACAGTAATGGGAGGAGTTAGATGCAGAACATCCCAGATGACATGAGAGATACCTACCCAGAACCCAGAAACTAGTATGTTTCTAACCAAGGCACAAAGCACACCAATGACATCCAAGCCTTTATCTGCTGCTAACTTATCTTAACATATGTCAGACCCGGCCTAACCAGCTGAAGTTTCGCAATGACATGAAACCAATTTTTAAGAGCACGGCTCTACCATTTTCCCTTGTGGCAACCAGAGCAGTATCTGAGAAAACGGTTTAACCGCAAGACTATCACTGCTGCACTGAGATATTGCACAAAGGAAAGACTTGCACATTGCTACATATCCCTTTTCCACACTCCCATGAATGTGGGGGATAAACACTTATTCTGCCAAACATTTTACTTTGCTCTTTAACAGCAGCACATCAGAAGTACTAAGAAAGGAGGATGAAAAGGCACAGGTAACAATCTGATGCTTTAAACATATCTATATAAGCAGTAAGGTTGGAAGGCGACAAGTCAGTTGAGCTAATTACTTCAATTCATGCAGCAAGCTATGCCACGTGTTATACATGCTTCATATTCATACTTAGGCATTTTTGATTGAGTTAGCTGTCCAAAAGGTGGCTCAACAGGCTAGGTTATAACAAATAGTTTGGTGTGCAACCCTAATAATACCCCATATTGGCATCAGAAGACGATATTGACAAATGACTTCGCCCAGGAAAGTTGTTCTGGCCCCCATTTAGTAGAAAGCAATCATTTGACACTGTCTAATGACATTAATCAAGCTCTGAACCTTTGTTGCTGTATGTCATAGCAAATGCTTAACATTTTCAGGTCCAAAGTGCTTGACTCCACATTGTATATTAAAAACAAAAGACTTTAATTCATTAAAAATAGACTCTCACGCTAGATTAAGTTCATTTGCTGCAACCATCCCTGCCCTGCCTTTGTGTGTGGTCTCATTTAAAACAGACGCACATGAACCAGAACCTACTTTATTCACAGGAAACAAAAATACTATTGGCTGTCAACCAAAATAACAGACACTGAAAAATGGGAATACCCCTGGGTAAGGAAATTTTAATTAAAAAAAAAAAAAAAAAATTACAATTATGAAGAAGAAGAAGAAGAAGCTGCCTTCTCTGGGAATTCCTGTTTCATCACCTTTGTCAAAACATCTCACATTGTCTCCTATGTGTTTTATAAAGGTCTTTTGCAGATCTATTAAAGCAGCAGCTTCATTTATCCTCACTCTGATCTATATTGATAAAGATTATGAAGCCATTAGATGGCTCATTAAGTTTGCCTTTATTTACCCCCAATTAAGATTTCAGGTGTCTCTGGTTTTGAGCTAATTTCAAAGTGGCTGCCATCTGGGACATTCTCAAGGAACACAATCAGCTCCTTTTGTAATGGTATATCACATTTAAAACTCTAAGGCAGCAGTTCTGTAACGTGCAATCTCATTCTCCATATGTAGAGTTTTGTGCCTGTTATTTTGGGGGGGTTTATTTAGAAATCAATCCAAAGTGCCAAGTTTTGATCCATGGCTTTTACAGTATTAAAGCTTCTGCTCACAGATGACAGTTGAAATGCTATTAGGCATAACATCCCCTTGCACTTCTCCACAAATGGTTCACAAAAAGAGAGTTTTTGAGCTTGGGTGAGCAATAAAAAACAGATTCAGATGTAGTAATGAAAAATAATTTTGGTATATGTAACAAGGGCATCCTTTATAGAAAACTCCCTTCTGAAAAGCAGAGACGAGGACCAGCACAGTGAAGTAATTGGGATCTATTAATCTCTTCTTCAGAGAGTAGCACGAAAGAACAAAAAAAAGCAGGCACAGGTCACAACCATCTCTCAAAAAGTGCACTATAGAGAGACCTTCCTCTCAGTCCTCCTACTAAGAGGAGGAGAGCTGAATGGGCAGCCACCAGAAGGAATGATTCTCATGGTAAACTAATACTGAGGAAGGGAACAGAGAGCACAGGCTCCATTTTGAAATTATGTCAGGCAGAGAGGGCACAGAGTTGTTATGATACAAGAGCTCTTGCTGAGAGAGAACCGCATCACACAGGACTTTGGCAGTGGAGCATCATAGCAGGCTCAGAAAATTTTCAGCGTGGCTTTTAGGTCTTCCATTTTATACTAGGTGATGTTGCAACATGGATCCATTTATCAAGATATAGCATGAGAACATTGTGACAGAAATACTGTGTAATGAATGCAGCTTTTGTTGATTTGCAAAGAAATAACTGACTTGAAAAAGCTTCTTCCATAAAATCGTTCAATCAACAACATGAATGTAGTATCTTAACCTACTGCAATTGTGGTATCAATATTGCATGTAAGAAATTAAGTGTTGCCCCTGTCACACGTTTTGATAACACTTATGAATGCTTATATTTAACTTTGATAAAATAAAATCATTCTAGATTAAACACCAGTCTCAAAAAAGCCAGAGAGAGTGTGACTGTATGTGTCTATACACATGTATGTGTACGTGTGTGTACGTGTGTGTGTGTGTTTGTGTATAATTCAGTTATAGTTCTGCCACAGATGGAGTTCAGATTGTTAGGAGAAACAGGTTAAAGCAGAAGATGCTAACACTACATCTCACTCCTTTTTCCCATTATAGCCTGTATTCTTTTTCACTCAGATCCAGAAGGATGGACAAGGATTAAGTACATTCAGTTCATAAATTTCTCTACTAAGCAGTGCAGAACAGCGTTATTTAGGACCTACCTTGCCCATTTGGTACATGTTTATGCATTTTTCCTTTTCTGGGGGTTGACTGGCATGATGATGAAGCATTGTTTGTGGCTGTTTTTGTGTCCTCTGTCTCCTCCTCCTCCTCCTCTTCATCCTCGTCATCCTGAGAGCTTCCAAAATATACCATGTTGCTGGGCAGGGCTGGAGAACCTGATCATTATAAAGAAATGGCTCATTAGGATCATTACATTCACTTACTGCACTAAACATATGATCATAACCTACTTCAGCATTATGCATAGCAAGGGAAGAGGGGGACTCAGAGATGGAAGGCCACACTAGTACATGACTAGCTGGAGGGTTTTTATTTATTAATTTTTACCAACAGGATACATATGTGCTTGAAAAGCAGGGTTCCCCCCCCACCCCCAGCACATTCTATTCATACTTTAGACAATCAAACAGTCTTGCTATAAGCCCTAATTAATAGCTTTTGTGTATTCAGAAAAGGACTAATGCACATGCTTAATTTCAAACGCGTGCTTAAGTGCCTTACTGAAGTCTTAACGCACAAACTAGAAGCTTACAGCTTTTCTAAACAGAAGAAGAAAGAGCATTTACAAACCAATCTGCACCCCGGTAGTATTTTTAGGTTTTTATTACAATAAAATATTAGTATTTAAACTTCACAATGCTTTACATACCTCTACAGTATTGTACACAGTGGTTTGCAGTATTCTGGTTCAGTTTTAAACAAAGAGAAAAACCTAGACACTGAGATGCTTAAATTTTCCTAGCAGTCCTTGGCAAAGGAGAGAAAAAAGCAAAGATCTCCCAATTCCCTGTGTGCTTCTCTTGAGGATGTTGCTTCTCATCTCTTGCTTACTTCCCATGATGCTAACCTGCCTTGTTTGCACAAGGGTAAGATACAACATGCAATTCAGTGAGAGAGAAGTGAGGATTCAACAAGCTTCACAACATTACAGGGTTGGAATTTAAATGTAACTCTTGCACAGAATTTCTTTTATGCGTGTCATGCAACAGTGTATAGGTTTCCCTGCACTGCATCAGGACACATTACGTAACTGTAGCAATCTAATAACTATTTTTAAACGTACAAATACTGCTGACAGCTAACGGACACTCTCCCTTATGGCCAATATTAGTTTCTACTTCGAAATGAGTCTTCTGTCTATCCCCTGGAGGGACAGGTGCCCTAGCAGCCTTCTACTTATTCACAAAAAGATTTTTTCTGTAGACAAAGGGAAAAAATAGAAAGGCAATAGAAGTGGAGAATGGGGACTCATCGCTTCAATTATTTTCCTGTAGCTAAATAAAACAAAGGACAAAGAGAGCTGGGCTACAGACCAACACCACAAGATAGCGGCTCTTTGGCTGATGCTTCCTTAGGAAACACTTCTGGCTTCAAGCTCTTCAGAACAGCAATTCTGTGTTTTGTTTGGTTTTGAGCTGTTGGTGTTGCCATTGCCAACAACTAACTAAAGTTTATTTTTGGGTTGCGTATTTTCTGCTCCCACCAGGTTTGTACAAAATACTCTTAACTACAAAAATTATATTTTAATGAATGGAAACCTAAATATGACACAAAAACCAGGACAGGCTGTTTCTGCAATGAACCATCCTTTCTTAAGTGTTTTGGTTGGGATGGAGCTAATTTTCTTCACAGTAGCGAGTATGGGGCTATGTTTTGGAT